GAGCCAACGACCCTTCCTACCAACACTTACCTACTTAGGTTGGTTCGTACTAGGTCGACCTTTACCTTCGTCGATAGAGAAGAAGGTACGAACAACTACACACGCGCCGTCTCTCTCTCTCTCTCTCTCTCTCTCTCTCTCAGTGTGTGGATGCATGCAAGAAAGAGTATGACCAAAAACCTATATATACTTATCTTATGTTATACTTTTTCCTTTATCAATGTTTTTTCTTGGATCCATATAATATTGATCCATATGGTCGTGATAGCAACATGAACATGATTTTATCACCACCCCATCAATGGGTTGGATGATGATGAAGGAATTGATTCCCACCAAACATGTCATTAATTCATATGTACATCCCACTGTCCAATCCATTTGATTGGATGGTGATAATCTACCTGGTAAAGTTGTCATGACCATATATAGATCATATACTTTTCTTTTTCTCTTTCCTGATCTTTTTCCCTATATAACATGTGAAACACATAAATATGCATGGATGTGGCGCACACTCTGACATGCTCATGTCACATGTATGGGGCATTTGCATGAGTGGAAGTATGTATGTGCATGTACATCTTATGCAGCCAATAAATTCAAGATAAATGTAGATTGGACACGTTAACTGGTACATCTGTATACATATATTCACACACTAAAACACAATTTGGAAAACAGATATGATCTGTCCATACATTTAAATAGATGCCAGCATACCTGACCAAGTATGCATGATAATGAATTTTTTAATGCGAAAATATGTGCAAGTACGTTTCTAAGTGCATGCACCACTTTCTGCATAGAAGTTCAACATACCATATCCTGTTTATTTGCAAATACCAAGATAACACTGTTTTGCATGAAGGGATCTCTTATGATGGCCTGAAAGAGAAACAACATTAGAGATAATGCATCATCAGCAACTAAGGGATTAATGATGGACATATTCTCATAAACAAAACAATACCAGTATATCCGAAAACTATGTAGCCATGGTATTCCTATTGATCATCAGAATTGGACCAGCTACGGAGCTGGTCAGGTCTAGTCAAAACGGGTTCAACAGCCAATCGAACAAGTTGGACTGGATTTTTAAAAATAAAGAAAAGTATGAAGTTGAGAATATGAAATATATTACCAGCCAAAATTGGTCAGACATTAGTTTTGGCCAATTTTTAGCCAAACCCTATTTTTCCTCTGGACAAACCAACTAAGGCGCCAATCAGGATTGACCGGTCGGACTGGCTGGTCCGGTCCAATCGTTTTGATAACACTAGCATTCCCAACTACCAGCCAAGAGAGCGTCGTCACAGAACTACGCAACAATGACCCAATGGGGAGAAAGATGGCAGTGGCCATCTCTCTCTCTCTCTCTCTCTCTCTCTCTCTCTCTCTCTCTCTCATGCATGGTGCAGGAGCACTAACTATAACCATTTTCTGAAAGACCAGATATGAAAGACGTTCCTGGATATATGAATGAGAAAGCATACTATTATCCAATAGACTGAAAAAAACAACTTCCATTTGTCAAGAGAATGGGAACCACCAGAACAGGAAATGACCTCAACGATGGGTCCCCCTCTCTCCCCAACATTGTCCACCATTTCAATGGATGGTGATGATCCAATGAATCATAGTTTTTGGACAGTCCATTAGATTATGAAAGGAATGTTTCTATTTAAATTTCAAGGATAAATAATTATTATTTTATTTCTGGGGATAGTTCCAACCGAACTCCCTCAAATAACGACTCTTAAATCAAACAGTGAAGCCGCATGTAAAGAAAATTACGTAACCTGAAACTCCTGCTTTGCTTTTCCAATTCGCTCCCTGTCCAAGGAGTCAACAACATAAATCTGCACAGACAAAATTCTGCTGCTCAAAAATCTAGAATGTTAGCTTTCAATTATGACATCTGAGTATTTTGGTACCTACAATCCTTTAAGAGAACAAAAAAGCCTACAGGAAATTCAAAAATTCAAAGCTGAAACCCATTTCAAAGCTCACTACTACAATCTAATAGTGTTACCAGCTTGATACAAAATAATGTAATAACTTTCTAAGATGAAGTCTATGTAAAGGAAAACTAAAATTTAAGTATTTTGGTACCTACAATCGTTTAAGAGAACAACAAAGCCTACAGGAAATTCAAAACTGAAACCCATTTCAAAGCTCACTACTACAATCTAAATAGTGTTATCAGCTTGATAAAAAATAATGTAATAATTTTCTAAGATGAAGTCCATGTAAAGGAAATTGTACTGGAAATCTGGCATGCCATAGATGCATTTAAGACAATTTAAATTGTCATCGGGTGTTCCTCTAAACAATAAAGGGTATTCAACAAAATTTATCCGATGGTTAAGGAGACCAACCTTCCAAGGAGAATTGATTATATCTTTAATCATTGGCTTATATTGGATAGTTGATGCATGCAATCCATACATAAAATAAGAAACAATATTCCTTTTTTAAGGAAAAATAAAAGAAAAGGAACGACATGCTAGATGGTTTAGGATATATGGATTTGAATAAGCATTGGATTGGGTTCTAGAACCTTGAACCCTATCCATGATGTACCTCGATAGACATTTCTATTTGATGTAATCTATTACCTATTAAACAAATTGTAACAAAGCATTGTATGAAAATGCAGAGTTTGCTTTCCCAGTATATTGATTCTGGAGGAAGAAGCATGGTCTTTGCATTTTTAAGGATAGTCTTAAAGACTAAAGTTCTCGTTGTTGATCATATTTACCCTTGGGGCCTTAACATGATCAATTATGTCTTTTGTGCAGGTAGAAGAATGAAACATGTTGCACCTATTGGTCCATTGGAAGTAGAATGACCCAAATATTTAACCATTGCCCAACAAAAAAGTGACCTTTAACGTCCATGGACTTAAATTTCCTGAAGCATCCTCAATTGAAGAAAGAACTGATACATTCCAAACATGGAAGGCAGTTCAATATGTTCTGAACCAAATCCTCCTCTAGATGGATACCTCTTATCCTCCAGGAGTCCTATAGACTGTGAAATCTTTTAAATGCACCACCCATTGGTCTAGAGAACAAGGACTACCAGGAAAATTTGGAAGCTCTTCCTTTCCAACAGAAGCATACTCCAGCCTAAGGCCTTTCCAGCTTCGCTCATAGAATGAAGATGTTGCTCCCGTGCACGTTCAACCATGATTGAACTCTAAATAATGACTATAATCAGGGGTCAATCTTCCTACATATTGGACTTTCAAATAGTCCTTTCTAGCATTAAAAACCTCCCCTCCCACAATGGCCAAATCTCCAACATGTTTAAATACTATGCCCAGTTTATCACTTTCTTCAATGTTAATTTTTCGTATGTGGTGCATCAAGCATTTCACCACCATAATCATATGAAATGAAATGTTTGAATGAGTGGTTTGAAAAACAGATCGGTGCCCCGGATCGGGCACCCCAAAAACCCATCTGGACCGGTGAATCGGCGTTTCTGATCGGGAATCGGGTGGAATCGGCAATTTTTGTCTCAAAAAATCTTTCAAAAATCACTATAAATCTCTAATGTATAACAAGGGTATGACCCTCACAAATAAATAAATCTAATAAAAAACAAGGGTATGACCCTCACAAATAAATAAATCTACTATATAACAATTAGTTTGGATAGAAATATAGAATTTAGAAATATAAATTTACAATAATATTTTAATAAAATTAAAAAGTAAATAAATAAATTCATACTTGCAATGTGAGGTAACTAGTTACAAACACTTCCATATTAGAAGATTAAAAAAATTAATTTCCCACATAAACTAGTATCACATCAAAGTATCAAACATTTATTAATTTGTTTTACTTATCCAAAATTATTACAACTTAACTAACTATAATAATATATATGGAAATTGAGGTTGTTACTTTGTAACTTTATATTTTATAATTATTTTACCATACAAATAAAAATATAAAATGTCTTATATATTATCTAATTTACAAAATCTTATTTACAATTATAAGAAAAAATAATATATTATAAATTTTATAATATAAATAAATTAATAAATAATATAAAAGATTTGGTCATTAATAAATTAAAAAAATTATATTTGCAATGTGGGATAATTGATAGAGCAACTTGAAATAAATTCTAAAGTGGTATGAGTTAGTGTTATTTTTCTCTCTTAAAATATCCTCTAAACTTTTTTTTTTTTAATATCCAATAGACTAGAAATGGTATTCTTATTATATTTATTTTTATTATCCTATGAGCTAGTACTAATTTTTTAATCCTAATTAACAAACTAATTAATTATTACTCATATAATGAAATAATCCCATGATATAATAGCTTAATAGAGTTTTTATATTTTTTGGTAAGTAAATTTAAATTTTTTTGGTGAAAGATAGGGGTAATGGGCACCCAATTATTATTTTTAATAAATTTTTTTCTTTTTTTATAGTCAAATTTAATTGCCACAATCGGACATACAACTTGCTTATTCATTACGGGCATACACCGTCGCACGTACACCATCTCACTGCAATTTATCCCAAGCCAATAATATTTGCCAGCCTTTTTTCAACTCACAGATATGTCCCACATCGAAGCGATGTGAAAAGAACGAATGTTATAAAAGAACCCAACGATCTTGCTAAATTAAATGTTGCCTTGGCCACGTGAAGCGTAATGCACGCTGAAGGCTGATATTGGTTGTCACTTGCATGTGCAAAGCTTTTAAGCTGGCAATGCCAGCTGGCATGAAGGACGGCGGCGGACATGTAGAGAGGAGGGAAGCACTTCACGTGTTAAGAATGTCAATCACACTTCAAAAAAGCCAGGTGTGCAAAAAGAAAGCTGGATTTAAAAAAAAAAAAGTTGGAACCGCCCAGATTTACCGATATTGGATTTGGAGCGGTATCACCGATACCCAATCCGGATCGCCCAATTTCGGATCGGATCTGCGATTTTTTAAACACTAGTTTGAATACATAAAGAAAAGCTCTTTTTTATGGTTTATATGTAGAAGTTATCACAATTACGTTGTGTCTTTCTTTTCCCTTTAAAAGACTACGTCACTACAATATATCTTTCATAGGCAATTGAATATGGGAAGCCTAAATTTTGCATTGATCCAATGAAAAGCCAATTACCAAACAGAAGTAGGAAAAGTTGTTTGAAAGCTAACAAAATAAAGTACAGCCCATTGCTTTGTGACCTACGCAGAATCTTCAGACTTCTAAAAATTCAGAGCAGAAAATAGCATGACATAAATAGCAATGACTTGAATCTTATACAAAACCCAACATGTTTTAGAATCCACTCAGACATGGGAGAAATTGATGCTCACCAGCCCATCTGTATTGTTAAAATAATGCCTCCATAGAGGTCTCAATTTCTCTTGCCCACCAACATCCCAAACTGTGAAGACCACATTTTTGTACTGGACTTTCTCTACATTGAAACCTGAATTGAACATAAAACAAACTTAGAACCATAGACTTGGTCCTTAACAAACAGGTAAATAAACAATTTTGAAATAAGGAATAATGACTGTACCAACCAAAAAGAAATGTATGGCATTTGCAAACTATAGAAACAATGTCTAATTAACAAGCGTAATTAACATAAAAGTCCCGTTTTCTTATTCAAGAAATACCAACAATTCTTCTCGTTCTTTTTTTTCAAATTTTATGCTGAGTTCCCTTCTTGTTGTCAGTTTTTTGTTTTTGTCCTAAATAGCCCAAGTATCGGAATGCATCTACGACTTGTTTTTTTTTTTTTTTTTTTCAAGTAGTCGGTCTGACACTTGAAGTACCGGACCAACTATCCCATTGGCCAGACTGTTTTCTTGTCAGTCGTACACTTGAAGTGCCGAACCGACTCAAAATATAGAAAAGAATCAAAACTAATTAAAAAAAATGTTGCATTGGTCCGGCACTTGAAGTGTCGGACTGCCTTCAAATGCCTTCTTTCGATTTATTTATTTATTTATTTACTTTTTTGTCTTGAGTCGCCCCGGTCATGCCGGTCCCAAGCCTGTAGAAAGCAAGGGGGTTCTATTAGGCTGGCAACCACGGTAAAACTTTTGTCACATCAATTTCATGTTTTGAGCCAGCCCGGCATTTGAAGTGCCAAACCGACAAGAAGACAGTCCAACATTCAAAAAGTTACCAAAGGTTCAAGAAGTCGGTCCGGTACTTCAAGTTAGGGGTCGCAACAGGTCAGGTCGGACCGGACCCAAACCGAAAATAATATGGTTCCCGGTCCCGAACCCATTGGACCCGACCCAAAAAGAAAAGATATATATTTAAATATATTTAACATTATGTTGATCTATATACATGTATCATTTAAATATTATAACTGAAATTATAGTTATATTTATTTAAATATTAATTAAATATCATTAAAATATTATATATTAAATATTATTTAAATAATAACACTATTCGGACCCATACCCAGACCAGGGTCAGGTCCGGTCATCAGGTCCCAGGTTGGGTCCGGGTTCATTGCCACCCCTACTTCAAATGCCAAACTGGCTTCTACAGAAAAATAAAAGGTTTCTGAAGGTATTTTGGAAAAAGAAAGAGAAAACTAACAAAAAAAGGACCCCGGCATAAAATATGAAAAAGGGGGCATTATTTTTTAATTCCCAAAAAATAAAAGGATTTTTATGTTAATTTCCCAATTAAAAAAGTGACATTATCAAATTGCAGTAGAAAGATGGATTGCAACAGATTAATGACAACTGTAAACACCTACCAATTGTCGGGACAGTTGATAGAACTTCCCCAATGTGTAGTTTGTACAGTATAGTTGTTTTACCAGCAGCATCCAAGCCAAGCATCACAACCTAAGTAAGAACAACAAGTTAAGATGATTATTAAGAATTGGAGTGCAATTATGAACAAGAGCCTTCAAAACCCCAAACGGAGCCACATGCACATGTGCACATGCACCTGGACCATACATGCTAAGATGCAAATGACGTCCAACTTAAATATTATTAATAACAAAATGTGATTCAACCAATATGTGCAGTACTTACAGAAAATGGTAAGTAAAAATGGATGCTCCAGATGACGAGCCATACTTAGCGAAGATTTAGAAAAGTGTGACAGGACATATATATAGAAAAGCCAGATTCTGCATTTGATGCAAAAATATGCATGCACAACAATAACTACTTATGGTGATAAGCTTGTTAGCAGCATATAATCCACAAAACAACACTATGAAACTAACCTTTTCCAATTTCAATTGTCAATAAAGATCAAAATATACAGTAGTTAAGAAATTGACTATTTGTATTAGTCTAAATACACAGAATTTGGACTACAAATACGTTCACACCATTCTTTTATCATAAAGACCAAAAACACAATTGATTACGAATTTAGAACTGAACACACGAATGCTTTTCTTTTAAGGAAACCCAACTACAACAAAATAGCACTACTCTACATGCATCCATCTTCCATCTCCAACTAACTAGCTTCCAAGAGAGCAACATTTGCAGGGGGTCCATAAGACACCCTAACAAACTAACTAACCAAAGACGGTTGTATCATAAAAAGTGGATAAAAGGAAGAATACCCAACTTTTCTTAACGCTAAATCCTGTAGCATGGAAAAGATCTGTTTCCCGGGTACAATATCGTGTATTTATATCAATTCAACAATTGCTTTATGCGTCAAGTATAAAGGCTGTAAGCATAAGCTGCTTAGAAGTCTCAGCACCCTAATATGATCATCAGAATGCTTGAGAAGATACCATGCCACTGGATGAAGGAAGCATGAAAATCCCTATAATTGCAGAGAGCATCAAAATCAGGGGAACACTTATTTGCGATGTTCACAGCCAACATGTTCGGTACACCTGTGACTGCCAGAGACTATTGCCGTATTCAAGCATCTTAATAGACTTGCCTCCTTTGAATCATGAAGGACATCCAATCATGGATAAATAGTTCCAAAGTAAAGAATATGTTAGTTTGAAACATCTCCCATATCCTAAAACATTAATACAGTGTGCATGACAACAATTGTTCACCTTCCTAATACACCACCACCCAAAAGAAATGCATCTTTTTGCGATATATAATATTGAAAGCTTTTTTTATCAATAACGTATAAAATTGACACCTCAGAACAGCAATTATACAATACATTGCTTTAACAAATTTCACAAGGATCATTGACTGATACACCAAGTAGAGATATCCAGGGTTGTTCCAGTAAGATTCCTCAAAACCATTTCTATGAACCACAACCATGAATTTCCTGACCAAGACCGAATAAACTGTATGCCATAATGGGCACAAAACTACTAAAGATTCCATTCAGGCAACTTATACATAGATGTATAAACTGATCGGAAGCTTTTACAGATCATACCAGAATGGGATTCAAATACCATTTACAACTACATTCAACATTTAAATTACATCTTCGCCCAGGATTTTGTCCAATAGAACTACCGCAACTGCATTGCCAGCCTATCATTTCATCCTAGTAACTGATTCTTCTTCTGTCAATTTAGTGATGACTGAGCAAAGTGAGAATGTTTTTTGGTGAAAACAGCTATTCATAGAGAGATACTTTGAATAAAATAAAATTTGCTTCATTGCTCACTATTTAAGTGTCATTTCATTAACAGCAAAGAGGCGTTTTTAAGTGTAATTTCATAAATAGTAGTGACGAGTTTCACAAGCGTGAGACCAAGAGAATAAAATAGTAGTTAACATTAAAAAAGGTGAGAGAATTAAATAATAGTTAAAAGATTGACTATAAGTCTATAACTATGAACAGTGAAATGCAATAATGCATCAGTCTAAATATTTACAGTATGTAAATGTAACAAACCATGGATTGGCCAGGAATGATTTTGTGCAACTTTTAGGCTATAAAAAGGAACGGACAGTTTCTTTCCCAGAGTTATAAAAGGAACCGTGGTCTTGAGTCATTGATTTTATAGGGCAACATCTTGGCTGAATCATTAAACCTCACAAATGCAGGGATTATACTTATGTCCACATAAATCCAGATGGATTAAACAATGGCAACCCAAAGCCCATCAAGAACCCAGTTGTCAGAAACCCCATTTATGCTCACCAAAAAAACAGCCCAGTTTTTTTTATGTTTTGATAAAGTAATAGTCTCCCTCTCTTTTCACCTCAAGCCCATTTTGATAAGTAACCGTCCCACTGTCTTCTTGTGTGATAAATAATAGTCTCTCTCTGCTTGTATCAAGCTCATTCTGATAAGTAACAGTCTCACTCGTCTCTTGTCTTACCATGTAGCAAACAAGTACTCAGAATTTGGGATAAATCCTCCCTCATCCACTCATCTCCTCACCCTTTGACTTCAGGCAAGCACATATTCATAGGCCCACTACATGTCCCTAACATAGAGTTTCTAAAATCTAAATATAACAGTCACCGTGAATAACCCGAATGCTTGAAATATGCATATGCTCATTTTAGTTATTGAGAATGCCTAGAGGACAAGCTTGGCGGGGGAAACATAAAGGGAACATGCATAGAGATGTCAACCTTGCAAATCCATGCAAATAAAATGCAAATGGTTCATCAATGTCTAAACAACAATGTATAAGAGACTTTATATGTTCACTACGGCATAAATTGTTCTTTTATTCTTCTTCTTTTTTTATTCAGTTGTTACATTATTCTTTAATGCTAGCTGAAGTCCAAGTGCGTATCAAGGTAACTCCAAAAACATTTCTACGATTATGAAACTCCAAACTAAATAGAAAATACCCACACATGCTAATAGAATTTCTCTTCCCAGCTCTAAAAGGATTTAGCTCTCTTTGCCCATCGTTTGAACCACAATTGATGCTGCAGAATCGTCTATGCATGCTTGGACAATATGAAAAATTACATGGCCATATTCAATCAATATTGTTTCTTAAAGCTTATGAGGATCTTTTCCAGTTATTATCGTCAGGAAATGAGGAACTTAACACAAAAGGAAAGTACATAAAGATATGACATTTACTCATCATATTCACATGAAACCTAGAAGCTAGTCATCGCAGACCCATTAACTACCACAACAACAAAAGGAACTGTAGGTTTTCCAACTCCATTCTCTGAATGGATTCAATATTTCCTCCTCTTTGGATTAAACCATTGTGACAACGTGATTGTTGTATGGTTGCCAGGGTAAAGATCCAAACAATGAAAATATATTGTACCCAACAAGGTTTAGTGAACCACTAATATCAATCAAAATTGCATTCCATACATTCATTCTCTTTTCTTAATCATCATTGATGATCTGGCTCAATGCCAAACCCGAATCCAAAATCACTGCACTTTGTACGACAATCCATGAGTATAAAACCACTGCACTTCCTCAGACAATCCATGAGTATAAAACCACTGCACTTCCTCAGACAATCCATGAGTATAAATCAAAAACAACAAAAAAAACAAAAAAAATAAAATAAAATGAAAGAGAGCAAAATCCATAAAACCAGCCTCAAAAACATGCTGCCAACTCAAACAATGCTTCCCGGCCTTAAATTTAAGGCTGAATTTGGTCACAATAGCCCCCGACCCTAGAAGATAAACAGACCGTCCAAGTGCCATGCTACTATGCATAAGCTCCGAGCCAAAAAATTCAGAGTAATAATTTTTCTTTTATTTATATAATTCTTTACTTTCGTTATAAAATAGAAATTGTTACAGCACATGATAAACAATGAATCAAAAACAGTATAACTTTTTCGAACCATCTGATCAAGAGTGCGCAGAGAAAAACAAGGCAACGAAGAATCCAAATACCCTAAATCAAATCAAGAAACGAAATCATGGACAGCTACAGAGCATAGATAGAGTAGAGAGAGCGAGAATGCAAGGTACCCTCATTTCTTGGTTGCCAAAAAAGCTATCGAAAAGCTTGCGAATAGCCTGCCCCATGTTTGCTGAAACCAACACAGCCACGATCACATGTATATAGAGATTGTCTCAGATAGCTTTGGGATAATTAAACACTTTTATTATGGCAATCGATCCAAATTTACAGAATTCACGGGTTCTTAATAAGCCTGAAAGTCCTAGAGAGAGAAAGTGTAAGAGAAAAGGAGACAATGAGGGCTTGCTGTCGTGATACAGAAAGAGGAAGAGATGGAATGCTCAAATGGAGCGATGTTTTAGCTTTCAGTCCAGGACAGAGGGAAGAGAGATAGGAGACGGGGGCAACTTATAGAGAGAGAGAGAGAGAGAAAGAGAGAGAGAGCGGAAAGTTTCCTTGGGTAACTTCCCTTGACCTGGTAACCCTGTCCATGGCATATGCTTCATGATGAAAATTGTTAATAAACGATGTCAAGTTTTCTACAAAACTTTCGCCCTGTATTGACTGCCATTTCGCTGTTTGCTGTATAATTTTGGAAAAAGTTTATGTAAGGCGTCAACCTTATACTGTACATGTAAGGTGCACCCATAAATCCATTAGAGAAAGTTGTTCTTATGCTGAAAAACCTTCAAATCGGCCATCTTGACCTCATGATTCACATACCGGGGATTTTTAGTCCTATAAGTGATTCCTCTTCCAATACATTATATGGACTGTCTATTTTCAAGATTTTTCAAATATTTATAAATGTGTTTGATCATCACTAATTTTGGAACTTTAAATTTCATAATTGGGAGAGTCGATAGTTTTTCATATCTTTTCAAGGCTTTGGAGCACAAAAACTGCATAGTATAAGGTTGACACCTTATACAAACCTCACCCAATTTGGAAAGGGTATTTTCGTGTTGAGTCAGCCAACTCATACTACATCTTGCAAATGGATTTTTAATTTAAAGCTTGCAAATGGATTTTTAATTTAAAGCTTTAGAGATTCATGATCGAGGTTAAGATGATCATGAACATGAAAAACAATATAAAAATTGATATATAAAATATGATTATTTTAGAAAAATTTCTACACAATACAAAGTTTTCTACAATGTACAAATTAAAAATAGACGTTGGTATTGCTCTTTTGCATCCGCTAACACACGAAGGACATTTGCGTTTTGAAATCCCTCTCTCTCTAATATTTTTTGGTTGGCCAGATCCCTCTCTCTCTAATAATTTTTGGTTGAGCATTGATTTTGAACTACTTACTGTTTGTTACGAGCGTTTCAAAACTTTGATTGGTGGGGCGCTCGTTCATATTAGATCGTTAAAAATAAATAAAAATTAAAATAAGAGCTTACAGGGATAGAGATTTAGAGAGACCTATAAAAATATTAGATAATTTTTAAAGAAAATAAAAACATAAAAATAATATATATATATATATATATATATATATATAGCATTTTTAAGGGCAACCCGGCCGAGACCCACAGCATCAAAAAATCTATTTCTTTGATTGCTTGACCGATTCTCATATAGATCAACAATCCGAATCGAAGATCCCTCAACTTTAAAACACTAGCTAGAATGATTTGAAATTACTTGTAAGTAAGGTGGAAATAATCTCCTCTCTCGCTCTCGTGCAAGGGGCATTCTCGGGTTTTCGCTCAAAGGTCACCATGTTATAAAATCGGCGTCATACTCACGCTAGGAACAATTTGAAGAGCTAAGTGTGTCTCACCTAAAAAGGTTGCGAAAATTCTCCTTGATGTTTTATGAATGTTATGAATAAACCATTTTCCATTAAATGTAGTTAGATAAAGTAACAATATGAAAAGCAAAAACTAGTCCTACGTAATAGCCACCGAAGACCGTCATCTTCATTTCTTTTTTTTTCAACTATTTCAAATCAACTACATGGATCCTGATCCATCCACTTTTTTTGCTCTATCAATGATCATACACTCAGTGAAACAATAAATCGCCAACTAATAGGCAAGACCACGGATATCAATTTATGAGTAGGCAAGAGATTTCATGCCAAGTGGTTCTCAAAATTTTAAATTAAAATAAATATTCCAAGGTCTTCTACGTGAGGGAGTATCTGTATAGTATGTTCCTGCAATATACTTGTAATCAAAATCGTTCATGCTCTAAAGAAAACATGTCCATTTACTCCATCTGCTAAAACCCAACCTAAGACTAATTTTAGGACCCCAAAGATGTAACCTCTACAACCTGTAGACTCACATTCAAATTGGGATGTACGTAAAAAAAAATAATGTCTCAAGATTGAACATGAACCATTCAATTTCCTGAGTGTGAGATCTAAGTGTTGAAAAATTATAGTTCATATTTTTTCTCTTTGAAAATAATCATCTTCTAATTCTTCGGTGGCTCCAAAAATCTCTTCTTAGTAGGTCTTCTACCTAAGGGAGTAGGTGCACAATATGGTCCTATGCAATCATAGTACATGCACTTCTATCTGTCCACATTTACATCTTACAAGGAAGCGTTTTATTAGGAATAACAGAACCACACCCTGAAGCTCAAATCCTACAGATGAAATAGTCAAAAGGAAAAAAAAAAAAGGGGTGAAGTTTGTATAAGGTACCCACCTTATACTATACAAGTAAGGTGCATCACTTAATTTTGTTGGTAGATGTCATTCTCGTGTCGGAAACCTTTCCATATCTTGAAAATCCATGTTTAACCATAATTATGAAAATTAAAATTAAAAAAAATACAAATCAAACAGATCTATAAACATTTGAAAATCGATGACCCATTGATAGAGTGACGGAAAGGGATTCATGTAGCCAACTCTAAATTGTTGGGACAAGGCTCTGATGATCCATGCATCTCAATTTCAACTTCAAAGTACTCTTTTCTACTGGATTTTTGAGGGTGCATCTTACTTCTATAATACTAGGTTGCAACCTCAAATAACATTTTTCCTAAAAATTAAATTTAGCAAAAAGTAAATAATAATTATATATGGAAAAGGTTTATATAAGGGTGAGGCCCTAAACATTCAAATTAAGGTGCACCTCAAAATTTCATTAGAAGATGTTGTCTCGATGCCCAAAAATCATCAAATTGATCATCTAGACCTTAAGATGTATGGACATGGGAAAATATGGATTTCAAATATTTCAAATGTATTTTATGGACCGTCAAATTTTTTAAATTTTTAAGTGTTCATGGATCTACTTGATCTACACTATTTTTCGAAGCTTTAGATTTCATAATTAAAGATGAAAAAAAAAATTAGGACATCCCAAAGATTTTCAGCACTCAAACAACATATTTGGACACTATTTAAAGTTGTGTCTTTGGTTGTTCAGGGCCTCAGCCTTAGACATACTATACTGCATTACATAAAAAATTAAAGATGTTAGCTTAAATAATAAGGTAAAATTATTACTATTCTTTAATAAAAACTGAATAATTCTCACAATTTCTTTCATTTAATTTAGTAGAAAGCATGTGCTATTAGCTAGTTCAATGTAAGGAAATTTACAAAAATCCTCTAATAATAGACTTCGTATTCAACTTACGCCCAACCAAACTTTTTTTTCCCGCTTTTTACCCTAAAATATACTTTCTTACCAAATAACCCCTAGAGAAAAAAAAATACATTTTTTTTTTATGAAAAATCACTTTTTCGTACATAACAATTTAATTTTGGCCACACATTCACGTGGTCTTACCCACAGTACCAAAAACTACATGGCTGCTGGACCGCCATTACCCCCCATTAAACTAAAAAAAATATCAGACCGCCTTCATTATCTACCGGAACGCATATATAGATCTACCGGACCATGTATATAAAAGTGCCGAACTGCCATATAGATTTTCCAGACCGCAATGTACATTTGTTGGACTACATGTTATCCAAAAAGAATAGTGCCAAACTGCCATGTATATCTATCAGACAGCACTTTTGTCCAAAGGAGAGAGAGGTGTGGTTAAAAAGTAAATGAAGGGTATAGTCTTTCTTTTATTTTTATTTTTTGGATGGGGGGTATTTGTTAGGAAAGCTATTTTAGGGTAAAAAGTGAGAAACAAAGTTGGTTGCGGGTAAGGTGCATAGGAAATCCCTTTAATATACGTGGTCCAGCTTATTCTCAATGAAATGCCAATAACTGAATAAAGGATATAATCAGCCTTCATTGAGTGCATAAGATGATAAAACCCCTTTCAATTGAGCAATGGTGATTGTTAATTTATTATCAGTATTATGCTAAAAATGTTGAGAACAATGTTGGAAGGAAAATTGTTTCATGCAGGTTGGACTGCATGACTATATATACGGTCAAAAAGTGTAAAGCATCCATCTTTAAGATGGATGCAAGTAGGTGTTTTATTTAAAAACAATGGAAACTAATGGTCCAAATGTTTATTTATTAAATTATTATTTCTAATTTTTTAAATTTATTTATTTTTTCATATTCATCATCTCCATGTTAGAGATTAAATATCCTTAAAAATTAAGTCAAAAAATCCATCGCAAAAATAAATTGTATTTCTACATATGCGGCCTTGGCCGCATAGAAACTGGGTCCATGTTGGAATACTCGGCTGAGTATGACTCTGCCGAGTAAGTCGGCCTCTGTAGGGTGAATTTGATTTATAGCTTGAAACAATTCATACAAATTCAAAAAAGATCAAAAATGAAAATTTAAGAAGAATTATATAGATTTACATTTATACAAGATTGATTCGTGGTTAGTGATTTATTAATATTGATATTATAAAAAGACGGGGTTTATATAACCCTTAATTTCTACAAAATCGTCTTGGACATCCTGTAGAGAAAATTTTGTAATTTTTTGCTAATGCTGAGCATATTTTATGTCCATATACTACTCGGCGACTCCACTTGCAATCTCTTGAATTACTCATCTTGGATAGGGACAGAGTCTTGAGATCAAGCCGAGTGTTTTAGCTCTAGATAGAATACATGCTGCAATAATTGTCTAAAGGTCATCATACATGAAATGATAGTGCATAAAACCAAGGCACTCGTATCAAAAGGTCAAGAGAATCAAGATTTAGGAGACAATATTGAAAAATAAATATGTTTTAATGCTAACTAAATTCAACAAGTTTGACAAAGTATAGTTGGTGGCTGTAGTTTAGTGGTTAGAATTCCATTTAGTGACCGACCTGGGGTTGAATCCCAGCGAACGCCACATTCCAAACTTTGGTTACACTCGTAAAACCTATTTCATTTCGTTCCGCATTTTATATTTAGTATTTTAATGTTATAAAATAAAGTGTTACTAGGGTGCAATTTAGCTAGTCCGCATTTTATATTTAATATTTTAATGTTATAAAATAAAGTGTTACTAGGGTGCAATTTAGCTAGTCCATTTTTTATTAATAAACACCATAAATCATGGGTAAGGTGATTGAGTTATTTTTTATTAATAAACACCATAAATCAATGGGTAAGGTGATTGAGTTATTTTTTATTAATAAACACCATAAATCAATGGGTAAGGTGATTGAGTTGGATTGAATAAAAAAACCACTCACAGAATCATGTAGAAATGATTTTCATTGGTTCGATATGAATTGTCTCATTGGTTCGATATGAATTGTCAGCATGGAGCATGATTATGATCTATATAAGTTTAATAGGAAAATGTAATAATCAACCAAAACAAATAAAAATAAAAATAATATCACTTAAACTCTTCTTAATAGTTTACCTGGTCGAACATTGTTTGCAGTCAACAAAAATCAACCAAGAAAAAGTTGAAACCTTGGTTTAATTTAAATTGTGTAGATCGAGCAAATCTATGAAAACATGAGAATCTTAAAAATTGGCAGTCTAAATATGCATTATTTCTAAAACTAAAATCTATTTTTTTTTCATGTCCATGCATCTTGATGTTGAAATGATCAATTTGAGGATATTTGAGCATCAAAACAACCCCTTATAGTGAAACTTTTGAGGTGGGCTCTCATTTGATTGTTTAGAGCGTCCGCTCTATATAAACTTTTTTTTTATTTAAATGTATTATCTAGAAATCATACTTGCTATGTTTTTTATTTTATTTTGAGCGTTGTAGTGAGGTTCTATGTGTAATTGTATAATGAGAAGTTATGGAATCAATAGATTGTTAGTAATTATTGTTGTAAATGAGTAGTTATTGTTGTAAGTAAGTAGTTATTGTAGTAATTTTTGTTGTAATAACCTCTATCTAAAAAAAGTGTGTGATGGGAAAAGTGAATAACATGTATGAAATTTGTAATGCTTTTATATTAGATGTA